GCCATCTAGTCCAACCCCCCCGCAGTCAGCAGGGACACCCCCAACTAGACCAGGTTGCCCAGGACCTCATCGAGCCTCACCTTGAATATCTCCAGGGAAGGGGCCTCAACTACCTCCCTGGGCAACCTGTTCCAGTGCTCCACCACCCTCACAGTAAAGAACTTTCTCCTAATATCCAATCTAAATCTGCTCCCCTCCACCTTAAAGCCATTTCCCCTCGTCCTGTCACTACAGGCCTTTGTAAACAGAATCTCCCCATCTCTCCTGTAGCCCCACCTCAGGTACTGGAAGGCTGCTATTAGGTCTCCCCGGAGCCTCCTCTTCTCCAGGCTGAACAACCCCAGCTCCCTCAGCCTGTCCTTGTAGCAGAGGTGCTCCAACCCCCTGGTCATTTTAGTGGCCCTCCTCTGGACCTGCTCCATCAGGTCCATGTCTTTCCTATATTGAGGGCTCCAGACCTGCACACAATACTCCAGGTGAGGTCTCACCAGAGCAGAGTAAAGTGGAAGAATCACCTCTCTGGACCTGCTGGTAGCACTTCTTTTGATGCAGCCCAGGATGTGATTGGCCTTCTGGGCTGCAAGTGCACACTGCCTGCTCATGTCCAGCTTCTCATCCACCAGCACCCCCAAGTCCCTTTCCTCAGGGATGCTTTCTAATACCTCACCCCCTAGTCTGTCCTGATGGCGAGGATTGTTTCGGCCCAGGTGCAGAACCTTGCATTTGCTCTTGTTGAACCTCATGAGGTTCACCTGGGCCCAGCTCTCCAGCCTGTCCAGGTCCCTCTGGATGACATCCCATCCCTCAGGTGTATCGACAACACCACACAGCTTGGTGTCGTCTGCAAACTTGCTGATGGTGCCTTTAATCCCTCTGTCTATATCATCGATAAAAATGTTAAACAGTATCAGTCACAGCACAGACCCTTGAGGGACACCACTTGTCACTGCTCTCCATCTGGACTTCGAGCCGTTGAGTATCACCCTCTGGATGTGACCATCCAGCCAGTTCCTTATCCACTGAACAGTCCACCCATCAAATCCGTACTTCTCCGGTTTGGCAAGCAGGATGTTGTGGGGGACCGTGTCAAAGGCCTTACAGAAATCCAGATAGATCACATCCATAGATCGCCCTTTATCTACTGAGCTGGTCACTTTATTATAGAAGGCCACTAGGTTAGTCAGGCAGGATCTGCCCCTAGTAAAGCCATGCTGGCTGTCCTGAATCACCTTCCTGTCCTTCATGTGCCCAAGCATGGGGTCTAGGAGGATCCGTTCCATGATCTTCCCAGGCACAGAGGTGAGGCTGGATAAACAGCTCAATGCCTATACTAACAAGGTATTTCTTATTCCTACCTCTATGCCTCATCATCTCTTCCACTGTTAGCGAGACCACACTATCAATCAGCTCTATCAGAGAAATAATTAGGCTTTAAAATCTTTTCATTTGGCACTTTTTTAGACATGCCAGAGCCTGATCACAGCATTGCTCTATTACGGTTTGGTGGAAGAGGACATAGGCAACGGGGAATGCAATGGGAACACGAACACCTTAAGCCAGAGCTGCTGACAAATGCTTTAGCAGGCTTTTGGTAAGGCTCCAGCACCAGCGATCAGGTTCCTGAGAAACCGCCATGGCTTGTCAGAGGGTGCGAGGAGCCTGAAGGGAAAAGCCCCGGGGAGGAAGGGGGGTGGTGGGACACGGCCACATGGCAGCTGTCAGCGCCCAAACCTGTCCCCAGGGGCTGTCTGCGAAACGCGGCGAGATGCTCAGTCAAGAAAAAACATCTCACGATGCTAACGAGCGCTTTTGATAAGTAATTTTAAATATATATATAGCCGTTAGCCACGTCATGTTCTAATTACTGTAACGTCCCGCCAAGAGGAAGCGCTGGGGGTTGTTGGAGGGAGCTAGGGTCGGGATAAGCTTACCGGTGTGAACGGCGCTGCCGTAATCCATGAGCTGCTGTTTCATCTGGTCCCTCAGGCTGCAGCAGGAGCGAAGGGACAACGGTCAGTCACATCCGCCGCTGAGGGGGGGGTCCCGCCGCACCCACCCCCCGCCACAGCGGCTCCCCGGCGACCGCCAGCACTGACCGGAGCATAGTGACGACGTCCAGCTTCGCCTCCGGCTGCACTGCCGGCCAGACTTTCCTCTCAGCCTTGCCGTTGACCTCACCGGCCGCCGTGCCCGCCTCCCGCTGCAGCAGCTCCATGGCGGCGCTTTCAAACCTCCCGCGCGCGGCCCTCGGCAGCCCGGCCGGCGATTGCTTCTGCCTGGTTGGGGCGGGGCTCCCTTGGCGTTCCAGGCGCATCCGTCCAATCCCGGGCTTCTCCTCCACGCCTATCGGCGTTTCGGCGCTCGGCCGCCAGGTGGGCGGTGCTGAGGGGAGGTGGCGGTTCCGTGGTAGCCAGGGCGGCGGGAGGCGGCCCCGGGCTGGAACCGGGGAGTCGCAGCTGAGGGAGGCGCGTTGCCGTCGTCAAAAGCACATGTGCTCGCTGCCGGGCTTATTCGTCACCCTCCGGTAAATAAACCTTCGCCTGCGGGGGGGGCAGGAAAGGGGAACGAGGCAGCCCCTTCACCCGGCTGTCTCAGTTAAAGAAAAAAAAAGAAAACTCACAAAAAACCAGAAGGGAAGCAGGAGTACAGTTAATTATTTTTCTAAAGAAAGAGAAGAACTACCATCACTTCTAAGCGAAGGCAGACAGAGCTCTCTGAGCAGCATTCTCCTAGAGGTAAAGCCGGTAGCTTGTTTATTTAGTGTAACGTGTTTTTATTAGAGCTGCACTCTAGTCTGACTGATGTGGCAGAGGGTTTCTCTGCCGCTGCATTAGCAGACTGCCCAGAGGGGCAGCAGCCCCAGCAGGGTGGGCCTGCCCCAGGGCACCTCTCAGGGCTGTTCACAGCCCCCAGGGGGAGGCCTCAGCTGTAGGAGGAAGTCACAGAGTATCACAGAGAACAAAAGTTAAAAGTATTTTATTTGAAGGCCCGAACATAAAAATAAGATACATTATATACACAGCCCCAGCCATCTGCTTGAGTTGGAGTGAGTGGGAGTTACGACTTTTTAACCAGAGGTTGTGCTAGATTCCATACGATGGAAGACTTGAGCTGTTGAATGACACTTATCTTGCAGTTTTTGCTGCTGGCATATTTGTTCTTGATTGCCTGCAGAGAGATACAATTGATTAAGTTTACCCTGTTCATACATTCACGCTATTCCAGCTCATCTGAGGCTTGGTCGTCAGGCCAAGCCCATCCTAGCACACAAGACTAGTTCACAGCTGGCTCATGCCACCTTGGCAAGATGAGAGATCTTCAGAGCTCCCCACTTGGGAGGGCAGGTCTGATGCGAGTTTGCCAGCAGTGGCTCAGCTAAGCCAGCTTCAGTACCCCAGCTATTGACACCCATACTCTCCACCCACACTGTTGAGGTTCTTACCATTTGCTTGGTACTGCCCTCGTTCACAAGAATTATGTTCTTTGCTAAGTGCTGCATAACTGGTAGAAGGTCATGCTCGGTGTAAGATGTGTAGTGCTGCAGAGTTGGTGTCTGAGAGAAAAGGAAGTCATTAGACAAGCCTACTGGAACAGTCTGAGTACCCTGGGTTCTTTGTCTTCTGTTGGGCTTGGGCAATTGTAGTCTCCTGTCTGACAGGGGAGGAGGGTTAACAGTCACTGCCCTACTTCTGTCCCCTTGTAATGGACCAAGAGAGACAAGAACATGATGAGATACCCCAAAGGAAGCAGCAGGCCCAGAGTAGCCTTCTGAAGTCGTGCACAGGCACATGGGAACCCTGAACTAGGAGGTGTTCTGACAGAAAGGACTTACCCACTCGCATCCATTAAGGAGTTTCAGAGCCAAACAGGAAGCAGCCGCTGCAGTCTTGGATGGAGGGAAGTGAACCATATCATAGTCCACAATGGACAACTCCATCAGGTACTTGGCCAGAGTGTGCTGTTCCAAGTCCACCTGCAGTAAGTCAGAGCCAAGTATTGGCTATCTCCAACGTAAGAGCACCCTGTCAAGCCTTTGTTTAGTCAAGCAGGAAGAAATACTTCCTTAGCACACATTTTCAGAGCTATAGACTTGAAATTCAGGTGGTCTAATTACAGAGCAGTTCTGAGCTGTATTAGGCTGCTCATAGTCTTTCAATGGCAGTCTAGCAGTCACCTGCAGTAGCAGGTAGGCATTTTAATTCTGATTTTGGGTGGGTTAGGCTCATGGGACTGAAACCAAACAAGACCTGTTTCTACATGGGAGACAGGCCTCAACCAGGCTCAGTTGCTAAACTGATGGCAGCACTCAAATGTTTGGAGCCATTTTAACAAGCTGCTACAGTCAAGTACCGCATTTTACAGATACTGCTTACAGTAACACGTGTTCTCAGCATTACCTCTGCAATCTTTGAAGCCCTCCTTAGGAAATGCGGAGGGACAGGGCGACTTAGAGAAAAGTCCAAGGCTCGCAGGATCTTCACCTCCATCTGGCAGATTTGGAATGTAGTGTAAGTGTGATCAGTTACATAGGCAAAGTCTCCGATATGTGGGGGAAACACCTCTTCATATTTGCTGGCAATGAACATAGCTGTGATACCGACCAGCTGCAGCGTCTTCTTGGAAACAGTGTTGTTCTGTAGTTAGAAGCAGTAGAGATTTATCTGAATAACTTAGCTCAGAAGACAGCTTAACAAGATAGCCAATGTAAGGTTTATTTTATTACTTGATGTTCATACTGGCATCATCTGTTACCCCTGCAGATGCCAGCAGAGGTAACAGAAGGCTTTGAGATCAATTGAGGGAGAGGAGCAAGCAGTTTTGATCTATCAAGTCACTATTCATAGCTGAGAAGGTTATGTGGCGCATACAATTCAACATCACATGTCCTCTGTTGGTCTAATTCATTAAGGGTAACATGTCTAACTATGTGTGGTGTTACTGATCAGTGCTTATTGTGCTTCAGGATAGGAGAAAAGCATTGCTCAGCACCAAGCGAGAGACACTCACCTGCAGGAAGCAATCGATGATACCAACTGTCATATACAACGTCTCTTGATGGAGTCTGAATTTTATCTGTACTTGCACAAGCCAGTCTATTAGTATGGCACGCATGTTCCCATTGATTTCCTGGCCAGCCAGGTATTTGGGTCTCACTGGTTTTTTTTCCTGTGTGGAAGGAATAGGGTTAATAGACCTTAGCTGGAGCATTTGCAATGCCTAGCCTCTGTTGCATCCTAAGGCATATCAAGGAGTTCAGTACAGGCATAGCCCTGAGGTGTAGGCCACAAGGTCTCTTCACTAGAGATGGGCTATAAAGAGCATGGTACTACTAGTCAGTTGTTCTAACAACCAGCATCTGTTATCAGCTCAGTTTAATCTTGCATTTTGAGTGGAGGGATGACTTACTAGTCCCTCAGGAAAATCCATAGGTGAAAATGAAGCTCCAAACCACACCTACAATGACAGGTTCACTCTAAGTGTGAGCAGATGCCCCTTGTAGTTCTGACCTGCTCCTACCAACCTCAAGTTCTCTCAGGTACTTGTAGATGTCCTTCACGTAGTTGCTGCAGAGGCCTGGGTTATCACCATCATCTGCATCTACATCTTCCACATCAAGCAGGACATCAGAAAAAGCCTGACACAGCACATCCTCTGACTCGGCACATCCAGATGTCTCCATGGGGGTCGGAGACTGAGGCTCTGGCTACAAGGAGATTTGGGATCAGGGCAGGCAGCACCCCCCTTCGCAGCCCAGTGTGGGCTCCCATGGGGCGAGCTTCACCCAAGCTGTGCGGAGGCTCAGGACCCCCATATTTCAGGGCACCGGTGAGGCCATGCCCCCCTCCTCAGCCCAGCCCGGCGCTGGGGAGGAGGCACACGGCCCCAAGAGCGGTACCTGGCAAGGCTCTGGCTGGGGATCCGGGACCGGCAACGGCGGCTCCTCCTCCTTGACCACCTCCTTCAGCGTCTTCCTGGCAGCCACGTTCTCCCGGGAGGTGGCGACCACAGGCCGGGTACCTGGCGGCCTTCTGCAGACCACCTCCCCCGCCGGCTTCTTAGCCACCGACCGCGTCTTGGTCTCGACAACGCGGTTGCCGATGTCTCCCAGAGCGGTGCGTGGTCGCAGCCCCATCCTGGAGGCGGCCACCCCCTCCCCGCGCTTGGCAGCAGGTAGCAAGCTACTCTTGGCTGCGGCGTCCGTCGTCACCCGAGCATTCTGCGGGGAGAGGGGAGGCGGGTCAGCGGCACCGCCGCCGGGGGCGAACGGGCCTGCACCGCTGCGCCCCCGGAACCAGAGGGTCACGGACACAGACCTGGCGGGGGGGTTGCATGGCTGCGCGCCGCCCCCCGCCCCAAACCCGAGGGTCGAAGGGAACCGAGGAGATGCCCTGGAAGAAGGAGACGCGCAGAGACGCCCCACGGGGGTGGGTGGAAGAACTCGGGAGGGCCGCCCTACCGCATCCCCCCGCGCCCCCGGGGGAGGCTGGAGGGTGTCTGGGCAGAGGGGAAGGGAAGGAGGGAGCAGGAGGGCCGCCCACCCTCCGCGCTTCCCCGGGTGAGGGCCGGCGGCGAGCCCCCTACCCGCGGCGGGACACCCCGCTCGGCTGGGGTGGGCTCCCCCGCAGGTAGTGGCCGGCCCCGTCCCGCACCTACCCTAGTAGCCCTGAGCGCCATGGCGGAGAAGCGGCGGCAGGAGTCCCGGCCGGAGTACGGGGCCCGGCCCAACCGCCGCGAGTTTAAACCTCTCAGCCGCCGCGGCTGATTGGCCGCCCGCTGACTCCCTATTGGCTGCCGGCGGGCCCGCCCCAATGCGTTACCGTGGCGACGGACCGGGGAAGTTCGAAAAGGGGGCGGGGCCTAGCCCGACCGTGCGCGCCCCCGGGGGGGGGTGATCTCCGTGCTCCGCCGAGCGGGCCCGCGCACCGGGGCGGCTGGAGGCTGCCGGGCAGGGGGGGTGAGTGGCCGGGGAAGGGGGTTTCGGGGGGTGTTCTGCAGCTGCCGGCCTCAGATGGAACCAGAGCGCCCTGGTCACACGGGCTGCTTCTCGATTTACCTCCCCGTTCACATCCCCGCTCATTTTTTAGCCAGAAAAGTCAAAGTGCGCTAGGTCAGCCGTTACCCAAAAACGCGGTTTTTTTCCCCGTTGTGCACACTCCATGCATTGCTCCCCGCCGGACGTACAACACGTGGCTGCCATGTGTTTTAAACCTTGGCTGCATCTTTGACGGCGCTCTGCTGTGACCACCCGTGTACGCGGCACCGAGAGAACCGGGACGACCCCGCCGTAGCACCTCCCAAAACACATCTCAGTCGGCCTTTACCGACCGTGGTGTGAACACCTGCCCTTACACCACAGAGTCCTCAGAGACCGTGTGGGGGCCGGGGGGGAAGCCCGAAAACTTCCTCGGAGGATTCACTGCCAGACACGGGCTCTCGTTAAACCAGCGGGGGACAGACGGCACTCACTGCCCATGTCTCCACCGTGGGCAGGTTCGCTCTTGCCCGTGGAGTATCCAAGCACGAGCTGATCTTCATGGCCACGGTCATCTCACGTGGGCCCAGCCACCTCCGGTTGTTCCAGGTCCTGCTGCTGGGCAGCTGAAGTACGAGATGAGTGTTGGCTCAGAGAAAGCTGTGTTGAGCCTGAAAGCTCTTCAATGACGTTAAGCTAACTTGATTTGAAGAGAGAAGAATCACACCCCCACTCCGCACCTACCTACCCCTACCCCAACTGGGCTAGCACTTGGTTTGTCGGAATGCCGTCAGCTCCTGTACGCTCACCTCAAACATGAGTGGCACATACTGATATTAAGGGGAGCTTTTTGCTTGAAAATGTTTTTCAGAACCAAAATGTCACCTGGCTTATAGGCTGAGTGTAATTGTAGCACTCACTGACCCGAGCCTTCTGGAAGAGGCAAGGGGAGAAAACAACTACCAGAGGCACAGAAGAAACCAGGATCACGCTTTTGTTCTGCAGCGCTGGCCTGAGAAGTGAGGGACTGTGATTTGTGCAGTCAGTCCTCATCCCTCCATGTAAAAGCAATGCAGGTTTTAGAGGCTTTGAGACCACAGTTTTTCAAGGCAGCCCGGTACTGCAGAAAGTGGTGTAACACAGCACCGGAGGAAAAGAATGGAATGCAAACTTGTTTAACAGTGGCAAAAGAAACTCTGCAGTTTGTATAAACAGGCTGATCTGGAGAGGAGCAGAATTGCTCAAGGACATTTCAAACAGCACAGCTGGTGAATCTGATCTGACCGTGTAACTGCTACATCACTCTAACCTCAAATTCCAGCCCGGTCTGCCATCATCATATTCAGGTACTGATCCCAAATAACACAACAAGAGAACAGAACGACAAAGTAAAGCTGCTATTGTAGGTGGATGTAGATGAAAGATGTACTCATCTTCATTGTTCTTATGATAAAATATGTACTCGTCTTCATCATGCTTGCTAACCACTGAACTGATCTGCTGAATTCCAAGGAAAATACTTAAGGGCTTCAGACAAGAAGACAAGGGGGCACAGGAAGACTGTAAACAGATGTCAGGGTAACTACCTTTGAAGGCATATGTTATTAACCCACTGACAGGTTTTCAGTAGACAGAGATTTGTCTTCTTCATAGTATTAAGACCCCCAAGACGTGTGATTATTTCTTAAACACACTCTTTCCAGTCAAGAAGTCTCAAATTACAGTTTGTTTCAGCAGCTTGCCAAATCCCAGATTACCGTCACAGTTTAGCGTTCTAAATCTGGACTGCTTCCTTGGGTAACACACAAAGGTACACCTGGCTACAGTACACCCACAGCTGTGTTATGGTATGTGTTTCATATACTATGAAAAAAATGAAGTAAATGACAGAACAACGTTATCTTGAAGAGTTGAAGTTTAGTGGAGTGGTAGGACACTCATTGATGAATTACTTTGAGCTTCAAACTATTGCATTTGCAGTTATTCATACAAAAAGTACAAAAAATTTAGCTTACAGAATGTTTCTTTGATTCCTAGTCTTCCCAAAAAACAGAAGTGTCTGCAGTTTTTTTCCCCTCCCAATTTCTCACTCTTAACATATGGATTTCTCTTCTTAAAAAATAATTTGATATAAGTTTAAATGGTAGCATTTATTTACTCTGATGCACTAAAATTAAGTTTAGAAATCAGATTTGTATGCTGAGACATAATATAAAAACTGCATATTTCTATTATCTAGGAAAATGTGCAAAACCCATTACTTCTTGTTGTTTTTCACTCCCCATAACAATCGCGTAACTTTTTTTTTCATTCAAACAGTCTTCAAGCTATGTTTGAAGGAAAGAAAAATATTTTTCAGTTGATTGTGTTTGCATTCCAATAGAAACTATTTCCACTTCCCACTGCTAACATGAAATCATAGTCATGATGCCCCATACTTAACAGAAAGTACGGAATATATCTGTGCTCATCCACAAGTTGCAAGACTTCTGTTTAATAAACAGCAAGTACAGTATTTACGATTTCCATTATTTTCACATATACATCAAATATTCAAGTCCATCTTATTTCCTTTATAAAAGCATCTTGATCCAATTTTAACAAAGATAGTATGTTTAAAAAAATTAAAATATATAGTACATTTGTTCCTGTACATGTATGTTTAAGATCCCCTGGCAAAAAGTAATACGAATATGGAATCCTACAGCTTTAGCCTTTATACCTCCTTTGGTGAACACATGTATCACATGATGTAAGTACCATCTTTGTAGTATTTCATGGATTCCAGTTGCTGAGTCATTGCAAGGACATCCTGAAATCCTGTACTAAGTCCAGACATGTGTTGAAAATAAGCTTCCTTCTCCACTTGGACAGTTAGGTTGTTTACACCAGCATCTTTCAGAATAGCCGTAACCTGAATAGAACAGTATGGTAAACATTAGTATTACGCTACATATGCATCTCACAGTAACCTGCAATATTCTGGCTCTGAAACACTGAAGTTAAAAAAAAATTATCACAAGCAATTCAATTTTCTGGGAAGTGAAGACTGGCTTCAGAGGGTATGGCGTTGCAACACCTCCATAATAGGTGATTCCTCAGTCTTGCATAAGGAAGTAAGCATCTTTTTAAGGGAAAGAAAAATCTAAGGCAGACAAATATTAGTAAGCCAGTTACAAAACCACGATTAGCATCCAGATATCCCTACTGTTTACTGCCTGTTTTGCAGCATGAGATCCACCTCCTCCTCCTTTTCTCAGAGCAGATGTAGTGCCGCTTTCAATAATGAGAAAATCCCTCCCAGACTTTTTTGTTTTGGCAGGTGTTCGAGCAAACAACTCTTGATGCAACTAATTCCAAGCTAGCAGGCAAAGGGAAGGACAGCACTAGAGACCAGCTCTGAGACATTAACTAATAGCTACAAAAATAATCATGAACAGCAGCTTCAAACTTCAGTCTGCTGCTGAAAAAGGGCTACCCAGTAAGAAATTAAATATTAGGGTCTAAAAACCTCGCACATTACCTGCTGAACAATTCTCTGTTCCATCACATCTGATACCACTTGCACATGTATTGTACCTGCCACAACACTTGCAGAATGACACCAGAAATGAGGATCTCTGTAGGATATGACTCCCTCTATTTTTTGAATCTGTAAAGAAATTACGTTAGCACCAATTAATTTAAGTGCGCATTTGCAACTTGTGTGTGTACATGGATACTAGTGGCAAATACTTCACAAGGTAACAAAGCTGTATAGCAAAGCAGCTTTCCATCTAAGCTGTATACAGAAATATGCGGTATTGAAAGGTCACCCTGCTACTACTGTCAAAGACTAGAAGCTAGAATTCAAGCTAAATGAAAAACCCAGCAGACCACAATGCTAAATAGGATGAGAAAAAATGATTTAGTGTAGATATCAAAATCACATCAATGGACCAACCAGAAAGCTGGATGGTTATCTAACCATTTCTAGGGCACCTGTTACCTCACTATCCAGGATAAGCACCTATTTAGTTACCAGCTGAACTTAATTCAGAGATATAGTCTCTTGCCATAACTTAGCATTTTTTGAAATTGATCTTTGTACTGGGTCTGGTTGGAATGGATTGCTTTTTTCACAGCAGCCAGTACTGTGCCGTGTTTTGGATTTGTGGCTAAAACGGTGTTCCTAACACACCAATGTTTCTGGCTGTTGCTGAACAGTGTTTGGGCACCATCAATGGCCTTCTCTTTTTCCCACTCTGCCCTCAGCCCAGCCAGTGGGCTGGGGGTGGGCAAGAAGCTGGGAGGGGACACAGCTGGGACAGCTGGATAGAAGGATATTGCCAGACAGAAGGATACAAGCTGGCCAGAAGGATATTACGTGCTGTTTAACAACATGCTCAGTGAAAACTGGGGTAAAAGAAGAAAGGTGGTTTTTTTGGTTGCAAGGTGGCTGTTGCTTGGGGACTGGCTGGGCATCAATCTGCTTGTGGAAGGTGGTGAATGATTTCTATTGCATCGCTTGTTTGTTTGAGTTTTTCCCCCTCTTTCCTTCACCTGTTAAATTGGCTTTATATTGCTCCCAGGGTTTTCTTGCTTTTGCTGCTCTTGTGTTCTCCCCTGTCCTGCTGAAGAGGGGTGGGATGGGATGAGAACAGAGTGAGTGGAAGGCTGTGTGGGTGTTTCACCGCTGGCCAGATGCCAACCCACAACACACTGTTGCTGTGCTAAGCTGTATCACTTCCATGACTTCTGGAGTTATTTGAAACATTGGCAAGATTTTTTAAATTACTCACTTGGCAATTATGCAGTTAAGACAGAACTGCTGTTCCTGCAGCAAAGCTAAAAATTATCAAGAGGCAGAGGTTTTTTTAAACTCTGCAGCTTAAATATGATAATATTCAAATGGTGTGTTTCACTATGATTTTAACATACAATGACATATGTGATTTCCTGGTTTTTTTTAACCTTTTTTCTCACAGTGTGGACTTGTGATAGAATCAAAAGCCTACATTTCAGAATACTGTTATTGCACACCTGCCAGGAGGTTCATTACATGTCTGTTTTTATTAACACTGACAAGATTCATTCTTTGTTTTCTGTGCTGGCAGGATCTTAAACCAAATAATTTGTTACTAGATGAAAATGGAGTTTTAAAATTGGCCGACTTTGGCTTGGCAAAATCTTTTGGAAGTCCAAATAGAGTTTATACACACCAAGTAGTAACAAGGTAAGACATTCTGTTTTGTTTCTTACGTAGTGATTGTGTAGCTGTTTTGCAGTGTCTCTTGAAATATGTCAAATCAATGTATTCAAAGTTTGGCATCTGGCTTTAATGGCAGGAGCCTCATAAAGAAAACACAAGAAGGCATTGTTTAGCAAAGTCTCTGTCTAACACACCAATGTTTCTGGCTGTTGCTGAACAGTGTTTGGGCACCATCAATGGCCTTCTCTTTTTCCCACTCTGCCCTCAGCCCAGCCAGTGGGCTGGGGGTGGGCAAGAAGCTGGGAGGGGACACAGCTGGGACAGCTGGATAGGATATTGCCAGACAGAAGGATACAAGCTGGCCAGAAGAATATTGCGTGCCATGTAACAACATGCTCAGCCATAAAAAAACTGGGATAGAGGAAGAAGGGTGTTTTTTGGCTTCCAAAGTGGCTATTGCTTGGAGACTGGCTGGGCATTGATCTGCTTGTGGAAGGTAGTGCACCATTTATTTTTTCTCCTGTCGCACTGGCAGTGGTGATGGTAAAGGCAGGAGCGAGCAACTGGCTGTGTGGATGCCTGACTGTTGGCTGGGGTGAACCTACAGCAAGCATACTGTTTTACTGTGATGCATTTTTAAAAATGCTTTTCCTATTATCTTCTAATGAATTGCTCTCTGATTGTTTTCAAAAAGCACTTTCTTTTTCCTCTGTCTCCCAGAGTTGCCTTCTGTCTTGTCCCATGAAAAATCAAACCCCGCTCTGCACCTCACCTTCCTTTCACTACGCAAGTCTCTCCCTCCCAGCCAATTTGCATTTATTCTGTTCTTCCTCCTGCAGGTAAGAACACATCTTCCCCTCTACTAAGTGACAGGACACCATCAGGATAGGCCTCCTTGCCACCTCTAGTTGATGGCATCCTCAAAGAACATGTAGCTAGTTATTTGCCAGAGAGGAGCCCTCCACACTGAGGTCTGCACTACGAATCTGGGCAGGAACTTCAAATGAATCAACAGTGAACATCAAGTACAGACTCAAAGTAGATACCATACTGCAGCAGACAGGAAGAGAATGGACTAGAATGAAAAAGTACTTAGAAAAAACAGCTTTTCTTCTGCCATATCACTGACTGTGAGCCAGGATGTTCTTCATGATATGGACAAGAGAACCTGCAATTACAGGCTCAAGACACAATCCGTAGCCTGAACCGTACACATCAAATTTAAAAAGGGTGCAAGCTTTTGGGAATTGCTATGCTACTTTCTTAGTAATAAGTACCTTCCCCACAGTGTTACCATACTTCTCTGAAATCATGAGCTACCCATAAAAGCAAAAAACAGTACAATTTTTTTTAGCTGCAAAACACTCGGAACAGTAAAACTCCTAATCCTGTCACATCTCTGCAAAACAGATTTAAAACAACTTGAGAGATCAAATTGTCAAAGGCAACAGAAGCTGTCAGACTGAACTACTTGAGTTTAATAATTATTAAAAACAGTTATAGATTTGTATGTTTAGATACTTTAACATTTAGAATTGTAGTTCTGACCTTTTCTAGAGCAGCATGCAGATCTTTCTCCTGTTCTGGAGGTATCCTCAACAAAAGCACTTGACAGGCATCTTTCAATAGTGGGATAACACTAAGGAAAATCAATGTAGCAATAAAAAGAGAGCAGAGTGGATCAGCTATGAGCCATCCAAATTGCTGGATAAATATCGTGGATACGATAACACCAACACTGCCAAGAGTGTCTGCTAACACATGCAGAAACACACCTGAAAACAAAATAAAATGAGTAATTAAGTTTAACAGTTCTCTTTAAAATGTATGCATATCTTCAATCGCAGAAAACCAGCATAGTTTATTAAATATAATAAATACCCGTCAAGCTAAACAGAGACAACTATCTGCCTAACCAGGTGCAAAATTAAATAAAACATTTAGCTTTTCTAATGAATTACAAATCAATGTGAAAAAAACCACAACATTTTCACTCAAGAGTGCAATTATCTAGGCAGGCATTTGCAGATTAAACCAAATGTGAATAGTCTTTAAATTGTTAGTGGGATTTGTACTATGTATCATTTAACTTTGTACAGAAGGAGATCATTGATCCTTAACAGAGGATAAAAAGATCAGTGTAAATGCTTTGGCCTGCTAATTTGGATAAATTTTAATGTACCATTTGCTTTTTTGTATGCCAACTCTGCTCCAATTTTATAAGACTGTCTATCTGCTACTGCCAGGAATAATCCTTTATGCTGCTTTAATAGTGCACAGCATTCTCAGTGCACACTCAAAAAGCACAGAAAAATAATCTCTAACCATTGTAAGATTAATGCCAGTTAAGTGTCCAGATTTGAAAGGATATTGACGTAGTTAAGAGTATGGGAACACTTCACAAAAGTACCGGACAACAGAATAGCCAACTGAATTAAGATGTAAAATACCCAATGAAATACAAGACTGTGAGCTAAAAAGCTTATGTTCCAACAAGCTTACACAAAAAACTCATTCCTTTATAGACTTTTGTGTAAGCCAGGCAGACAGTAAATAACTACCTTCTAACTACTAGGGAAAAAAGGTCTAAGAAGTAGCTATGCTGAAATTTTATAGATATTATCCTTCTCGGTTAGCTTCTGGTTTTAGATTTGAAAAAGAAAGTTTCAACTTTCCCATCTTACGACTCACAAACAGAAGCATATTCTAAATTGCTGGTCTACATTTGTTCTTCTGCTTCTTATCCCCTTTGCTGGTATTTTTTACAACCAGCTGCCACACGATACCTCGAAGCACGGTAATTATCTTTAAAGTAGAAACTTGTACTTTCATTTCCAGATGGAACTTAGTACCATGGACTTTAAAGCTCTTCAGTCAGGTTTACAATGACTGTTTGTTAATGTTAATGAAGACTTTAGATTAATGCTTTTTACTGGCCCTTAGGTATTACCCACAGCTAAGAAATCCACGCAAAGAAACATTTCAGTTATGTTTCTTCCAGTTAAACTCATTAATGAAGAAACAGTGCGAAAAATTCTCATACACTACATTAAATGGCTGTCAGATCACTTCTGGAGATTTTAAGCACGATGCACATTACGGGGCCTGATTCTGAAAATCTTTGAAGTCGGCTGGAAATGATTGATGATTCAGCAATCTGTACTTGCCTCTCATGTTGGTGTTCATGCCTCCTCCGGGAGACCCGTGGGCATGTCCATGGCTGTGCCCGTGGTCCCCGTGGGAATGGCCGTGCCCGTGGCTATGGCTGTGCCCGTGGTGGGAATGGCTGTGATCGTGTGAGTGACAACCTCCCCGAGAAGCCCCGTGGGAGTGCGCATGGCTGAAGGCACAGATGCCAACCAGGTTGACGATCAGCCCTCCAACAGAGACTGGCTGCGAGAGGGAGAAGCGTCATTAACGTCGCCACATCCTCCCGGCTGTTCAAGTTTATTTTCTAGAACACGGTAAGCAGAAACACTACACACCTAGTAAAGGAAAACTGTGCAAGGATTATTCTAATGCGGATTCCTCATCATATTCCTTTCAGTACACAAGCTGGTTTCAAGTAAATTCTCTTCCCCTCTCAAAAAAATCCAGTTTTCCCCAACCTTCCCAAAAACCCCACCAAATAACCACCACCAAAATGCAAAACCTAGTATCCACAAATCCGGACAAGATAGCAAATTTAGTGTCAGAGAAGTGTGATGGATTTTATTTACTTTCAAAAAGAGAGAAAGTGATTTGAATACAAGCTTCGCTTTGCTTTCATTAGCAGAAAAAATAATAATTGTATATTGTATCTATGACATGCACACTCATCTAAAATTGTACTTAACTGAAGACAGCAACTGCTGCTTTACTGGTTGAATTGTGCTTTTATCTGTCTGCCTATTTTTCTACTCTTCTCTTGGAAAACTAGCAAAGAGTAAGAGTAATTCTCACTAATGAAGGAGTTAAGCAAGTCCAACTTGGGGGTTATTAGACCTTTTGTTGGCTACGCAGACTTGCTTATGTAGAGGGGGTAACGCCTCCCATCCCCAAGAAACAAAATCCATAGTGAAAATGGAGCAAATATTGAAGATTAAAAAGAAAAAAAAAGAAAAAAACAGGCCTCAATTCCAGCAATGCATGCTTCTAATTGTGCCTACATAAAAATATTTTTCTAAGACTAATACAAAATCTTTCCTGTAATAATTAACATTGATACATGTAACAGCCAAACCAAATTTAGTTTTGTACAGATTACTTCCTTGGTATTTTTTACTATAGGAAGAACACCATCTAAAAAGTTTAGAGCTATAACATCGTAGAAAAAACCTCAATGTAACTGCTATAATTAAGCTGTATTCACCCCTATATATTTTTGTATTTTAAAAATAAATGTTTTGGATTTTGGAGTTTGAATTTTGAAATTAGAATATTTAAAAAGTGAAGGCATGGTTTAGATCTCTTGTGTATGCAACTTTAGTCTACTTTTTTTTTTAAGATGAACATACTTGAACAAATAATTGCCAAACAACATTCAAACAGAATGACAAAACTTACAGTTAGCATATTTGTATCTATGTCAGGAGGATCCACCAGTCTGGCCACCGATTCCATGAAGACAAAGAAAGCAATCACCATCAGAAAGAGGCCATTAATAAATCCAGAGAGAATTTCTACACGTCCATACCTGAAGACAAACATAAGTACTTTCAGAGTGGAAAAACAGGTATTCTGAACAAATTTCAAAGGTATAATAAACAAAGTTATAATGCATTTAATATAGCATAAAGATTGCTTTGACTTTTTTTTCCTTAGTGCTACAAAATCATGCCTTAATTTCTGAGTTTTTTATTTCTCGCCAAGAGGTAGCTAGTTTGCAACTGTCCAAACACCGATAGTATAACACTATAATAATAGAAGCATTTTTTATATATATACTGCATATTCAGGGCTTCAAAGTGCTAGACTGCTGTGCAATTTAACCATAGAAATTTTAACTATATCAGCGCAATTGAAATCCTCTTATAAACACTGACTTTCAACATATATTTTTGTTTGACATACATACATATATGGAGTGAGGCAATTTCTACTTAATACTCACAGCGATAAGTTTGATTTGTAGAGAAAAACGAAAATTACATTTCAGACACTTTTTTTTTGCTGGGGTAAGAGGAATAGCATAAACACAAATGGGACAGAAAAGAGACATAGTAAAAACCACACAGAAGCGTGCACCACTAAAACACCCTGAATGTACTTTTATAGCAGGGCATTTTAAAATGAGTAAGCAGAATAGTTTTCAGATAGTCCTTAAAGAACCTAATATACATACCCATAGGAAAATATGCGAGTTGCTTTCCATCTTGTCATCAGAGCTGCAAAAAGCCCCATCACTAATGCAGAACAATCAAAAAGCATGTGAAATCCATCAGAAATAAGACCAAGGCTATTGGTCCACACTCCATAAAAAAGCTCCACAAAAGTGAAAGCCTGAAACAAAAGAGAGTTTGAATTTCTCTTCTAACATTAACTTGTCATCTGTCTTGGTAGCTAGCAGGAAACTCTGTTCATAGGACACTTCATAGTTTTCAAAGGTATTTTTCAAAGTATTTCTAGACCACATTCTTTCTCCTCCAACGAAACAAAATAAGTAATACATTCCAAGCCTATAAAAAGACATTTCTTAATCTACCCTCCCAAAAGCCCCAGATCTAAGAAAATAACCCTCTACAGGTGTAGATTTAAATTTTCATTTAGAGTTTTAAAATAACCTTGTGCAGACAAAGTTTTTGTCATTAAACAATGTAACAACTCTGATCTTATCCATTATTAGTGGAAAAGCAATGCTACCTATACATCCATTCTGTAAAAATTTTCTTCACCAATTATTTGACTGTTTAAATCTTGTGAATTAGTTTTGAGAAGGGTATATGAAGAAACATTTTTAATACACACATTTTCCCTGTCTGATTTACTGTTATTAATTAGTCTGCCTATAAACTTTCTTTCCCATCTTTCATATTCCATAATGGAACTCCTTAAAGTTATCATAGATACTTCAAATTTTTTCCGCCTATTTTCTTGGATAATTGCCAAAGAACAAAGAGAGATCTTTCCAAATAAGGTTCTATCAATATTGCTTACTGCATGATTTTTTCCTATTTAAGAAAGACAGAATCTAGAAATAAAACCAGCCTACTCCAAAACGACACTCCTGAGTCCCACGCATGCTAGTTTGCTGTCCCCATCCTTGAAGGCCTCATTAGTTTTAGCTTATCTGCTGGTAGCATTGAGATACCTCAATCTTAAACCACCATCATACAAGAATTTACTTACTGGTACAATAGTTGCACATAGAACCAGTGCCTCACTGGTGACATCAAAGTGACCTGCCACTTACTTAAGATTAGTGTAAGAATCTTCTATTTTAACATTCCACCTAATGAAACTACCAAGGATCAGCTTAAAAACAACCAGTCATGGGAACTTTTAAAGAATAACTCTTCTTACTGTACTACGTATGTACTACTGTGATTGGGTGTGAAAACAAACATCCACTTACCAGATTCAGGCACAAGAAATAGAAGATCTGCCTAGAATCGTACTCCTCAAGGATCTGTTTCAGTGACTCCTTAATAAACCGGGGCAAGGACTGAGAGCTCTGCTGTAACGCATCACCCATGAAGTTATAGAGAGGAGTGCCTTCTGGGGAATAGCCGATAAGGGTACCCTTCTGCCCTTTCCTGGAGGGGGAGGACAGGATATTGGCAGCTGCAAGGAAAGTATTGAAGTTTTTGTTGCTGTTTTTAAGTTTCACAGCTTTTTTATAATGTGATTTATCAGCAATCAAAGATCATATGAAATTTGCAAGGCAGCAAAGTGATTGTCAACTTCATCTTGAGGTTTATCATTAGATTTTCATTGCTATGTAAGATTAGATCATCACTTCCACAACAGAACAGATCTACTACATTCTCTTTTTTTTCTTGTAGTCAGGCAGTAAAAGAGCACAAAGGTACAGGACCTTTTTATTCCAAAGAATCCATAAAAGCTCATCCAAAAGAATTCTGCACAAATCTATTTTTTAATTGGCTTCCCAGTCACACAGGCAATAGAATTATGTAAAGATAAATAAAAATACATACATAAAATGAAGAAGACTGCACTCACTACCACCCCTCCAGAAAGAACGTGCTCTGTGCTTTCATGGTGTGGTGGCTTGTTCATAGCTCGAAGCTGGTCTGTTATTGGATGTGTCCAAAAGTTGCTGAAAAGCAGCGCACTAACGAAAATAAGAAAGGATCCATATCGAGCACACGTGGAAGCTTCCATCTTGACAGAGCATATGGACTCCACGTAGAAATCCAGGATCACAACAAAAAAGATGACTGTTATGAAAGGCATGATGAGAGAAGACCAAGACTCTACTTTACTCTGCAACAAAAAATACATTTCAAACAAGATTGTTCACCATTAGATGTGACTGTACAAACACCACTAAATCTAGTTCCCCTTCATTACAAGTGTTTTCATCAAGCCATCAAAACATAAACACTTTTATACTTCCAATTTATCATCTAAACCCAATATTCCAGCTATAGAAAGACACATATAGTTAATAGACGCTACAGTACTTTCTTTTAAATACTTTTTTGTCTTTAAAAGTAATGCCATATGCAACACCATGCTTGCAATGGTCTACCCTCCCTAACATAACAAACATGTCTTTAAATTACAATAATCTACTCCTCAGGAATAAGACAGCCCTGTATTGATACAATCATTAATACTTGTACAATGTTACTATATGAATCCAGGATATAATATGTCAGCTAGAAAGATGAAATAAAGTTATCACACAAAAGAGGAAATTAAGGTATCATGCAGATATACACCAAAATACAGAGGAAAAATTTCAAACAGCTTACTAGAAAAATAAAGATGGCAACTTTGCTAATTTTAAAGATTTAAATTGCACTTTACAAACAGAAGCATTACAAAAAATTATTTATTTTTATACTTGCTATCTTACCTCTGTTGTCAGAGAGAGAACAATGACCCATGGGCACAACAGGAGGACGGAAACGAGATGAGACAAAGCTTGAAGACGCTTGGCTCCACCGACATCTACAGATAGTTTTCTGGAAGCCATGTGAAAACCCACCTTACAGCACAATGCCAGCACCAGAAGCAGTACTCCTCCCTGGAAACACAGAAGGATCCTGTTAACATTTCTAGAGAGCCAAATACCTCATTCCAAACAAATGGCACTTAGTTGAAAAAAAAAAAGATTAATATGCTTTATTTAACTTACTAACAAAAGCCAGAGATGGGATATCTCCTTTAATTGTCACTCTAGTTAAAAACAGTAATATAGCATACATGGTTAGACCTGCACTATTCACAACAGCCTGATATGACTTGAACTCGCAGTAGTGTCAATTGACACACAGCAGCAGCAAATTGGTAGCAAAGAGCATACAAGGAAGAAGAAAAGTATAAAACTGATTTTCCCGTCTTCCACTAGTAAAATTGTGTTGCAAGTATACGTAAACCCCAAAAGTGTCATGTCACCTTGGCCTCTAATCCTTTCATAACCTTTTCATTCACTTACTGTTAATTGCACCACACCATATTTCTTCACAATATTTTCTTTCAAAATTGTTCTATAAATTAATATAACACAGAATCTCATCTCCCGCAGACCACACTTGCTTTGCGCACAGTTAATCAGTCTCTCTTACATTTGGTTTATTTTTATATTAATACTTTCTCAGCTGCTCTGTTTGTGGTTCGTTTTTTTTTTCCCTCTTTTAGTACTCAGTGAAGCCACTTCAGCAACAAGACTAAGCTAACAGAACAAGTCAATCAGGGAGGTCAACCCCATACAGTAGGATTTTGATACTTAGTTATTCATGTCACCAATTATAATGGGACTATACTATTAAGAAGTATCAGAATCTGTGTCTTCAAATACAAGAGTCTAATGTAAACACAAGACTGGGGAAAGATAAAGAAGCAGCAACAAAACACAGACCCCAAAAGCAAGGAAGACATTTATTGTATGTAAAGCACTATGATCACCCAGAACACCGATGACATGGAGTACTTTATGGAAGCTGCTCATAATCAATCTTAAAATGTAAAAATTACAGTGCTAGTTCAGTTCCAATATGGGGTGGGCATGTTGAACTGATTTTGATTTAGGCTTGGATTAGCTCTGTGCTGGTGGAATTCTTACCTACTAAACTCAGATAATATTAACCTATTAAAATATAAGTTCCTTACCTTGTGGTCTGCAACGCCCAGGAAAGCAATGATTGTATACAGAACATGTGTAAGAGCACTGTCATGATGACCCTCAGCTAAATAAAAAAAAATTAAGGAAGAGTCTCATTTGATGATTTTTTTTAAACCGAAGAACAGATAGATGTAGCAGAAGACCACGGGGAGCTGAAGGAAGTAAACTGAGCTTTAAGGTTTGTCAGATACTTAATGAAAATATTTCCACAAAAAAATAAGTAGTTAAAAGTATTTGGGAAAAAAATAAGTATTTTAAAACATGAGAACATAGTCACTGTTAAATGCTAACATAAATCCTGTATCATGACTACTGTGCCATTTCAGCAACCAGACTTTGAAAAATATACTCACTGGCATTAAAAATTACATTGCTTTTCACTAAAAGCACTAAATACTGTGTCTAAAATATGATCTACATCTTTCCAGTTTTTAAATATAAAACAGAGAATAATTGAGAAGCACAATCCAGCAAAATCAAAATAATGATAGCTTTTGGGAAAACTACTAGGGGACACTTTAACAATGAATTTACTCACTGAAAACTCAGTGGATTAGTCGATACTATTCCTGAATTTGCATCTGTAATTCCATGTTTTCATCGGTCTTTGAGAAAGTCTGCTTTCAACTTGTTTGGTTTCACTGCCCATCTCATCTGTAGCACTTTTTTTCAGTACACTTCGCTATGATAAGAAGGCCTGTTGAAAACTTACTTCAGCATCACTTTCCATTAACTCAGTGGCTTTGAAAGCTGTTAGCTAGCTTCTATTTGCAGTTTAAAGTCCATTGCTGTTGGAGCTACTGCTATTTCACGTCACTTTTCAGTTTAGCAGATGAACTCAGATTACCACATTTACAAAAGCACAAAACAATCTTTCTGTATACACCAAAAAGACTGCAGGCCAGGCTGTCTACCATTTACTGCACACACTTAGGCTACAAACATTATCTAGATTTTTTTTTCTTTTCCAAATGTGAGCTGATCAGAAAAAACTTCTAGCAATTGTAAGTGATCTGACATGTGCAAATGGCAGGGATCCTTTAACTACAACTTGAAATCTATGGTTGTGTTCTAAGTTACGAACAAAGTAATCAATGCCATTCATTCAGCTGTATTTAGATGTAAAAGTATTTAGATGTATCAGTATTTAGATGTAAAAGTAAAATCTTGTGCTATACTACTCTTGAAAGGTAAGATTCCTATTAAAAAAAAAATGCAAGCATATTTAATTCAGCACATTCAACTTTACATTCTCTCTGCTCCAGTAATAAACAGGCACTTGCTCTTACACAAGAAAGGATACGATGCTCTGCTATTTTAGCCATGAGGTCATCATTATCAAAAAGCAGTAAGCAGATGACAGCTATGATGAAAAATGCAGCACCTCTTGTCTGTAAAACAAAACAAAACAACCCAAATATTTTTATAGTACTCTGTAACAGATTAATGAAGAAAAAGTCCAGGGAATCAGCTCCCTCTCCCCTTCCTGATCAATGTAAGCATATTTTAGTTCAGTAAGAAAAACATGAGGAAAACCTAATTTTTTTTTAAAAAAAGTGACTTTGAGAATATAATTTTAGATTTTTTCAACGTTTCTGATCTACCAGATGACTAAGGGCAAGTAACCACTGTAACAAGACAGAAGCCTGTATTTTAGGAAAGTCAAGTGTGATTGCTTCTTTCTTCGTGGTGTGTTTCCGCCTGCCAGAATGCTGAACTACTTAAGCCTGATGATTTAATATTTTGTAGCATCAAGGAACCATAAACAAGATCTAGTGGACAAACTGTAGTATTTTGTCTTATGGGAGGTAAAGGTTAGAACACTGTCCAAAGGCTCTGGGAAAGCAGAGCTCTGTAGTGCTTTTGAGAGGCGGGGACAGAGGTAGCCATGAAATCCCAGCTCTCAGCACTTTCACCACCCTGACTTAAAACTCTGCAATTCTGATATTCACCATCTTGGCAAAAGCCAAATACAGACACCACACTCTTCTTTCGGAAAGTCAGCTGATTTCTCTTTGCCACATTTCATTTCATGAAGCTGGAACACTCAGTGGACAGGGTCATTGCTCCCTCTTTCTGCTGCCTTAGACACACAGCTGAACTGCCAAGCATGGCCCACTAAGATACAGATTGACAAAGGACCCCTCTGAAGCTCTTCCATTTACCCTTTGGGTAGATGGATGAAGAGCTTCATGCTGGATGCCCTAAGCATGTCAATTTGAGGGGGTGGCGTAGAGTGTCAGAGCAGGTGACTGTGCTACTCACTCTAAGGCCAGCCTAAATAAAAGTGATGAGGGGACTCCAGCAGCAATTGCGAGAGAGGGACTTCAAAACTCCCAGCCTGAGGCAGCGCCAAAGCCAGACTTTCTCTTAACACAGCAAGTACTCTAGCCTCAGGTACATGACATCATAAGTTACCTTCCTCCAGTTATCACAGTTTTTGAGGGGAAGTGGCCCAGACTACTAGGTGCTGGGTTAAGATCAATCCATTTAGGGCTGAATAGGCACAGTTAGAGAACACCTTGCAAAACTGTACGCAATGGGACTCAGACAAAGGATGTTTCAACTGTACATCTCTGATTAGGTGAAAGACTGGGCTCAAGTATTCAGCACATACAGGCTCATGCAGACAATAAAGTCCTCAAAGAGCTTTTTGGAAGGAAAAAAAAAAGGTATGTGAAAATCTACAGATGCTGAAGAGGGTAGGCAAGGACCTGGAGACTGTTCCACGGACTGACGTGCCTATAGGCCAGGACCATGTTCTTTTGTCAATTTGAACCCAAAATCCCATTATAAAGACTACTGAAGTGCAAAAATCATTCTCAATGTTCCTTTCTGTCTACGAACAGTAAAACGTCTCAGATACCTGCTACGGATGTCCAACAGCTTCACTCACTGTTTCTCTCTTCATGTCTTATTTATTATTTCAAGTCATACATCTTACCATTTCACGACTAATTAAACTAAAAAAAGCACAGTTTCTATGAACACAGGTCTGAAACACTGTTTGTTCCAGGTAAAGAAGTACTTGAATTTGTAGCATTCAGTATTTTAAACATGTAGTAAAATAATATTTTAAATACCTTTGCTGGTCCTCCACCTGAGCTCGTGAACAAGACACTAAGCAGTGATAGCACAACCACATCACTGTGCTCAAACAGCAACAACGTCCTATAAAAAAAGTGAAATACTTATGTCGTCTTACAAGGAGTTTACCTAGAAAGTCTGATATATATTATTTCATTTAAAATTCAATGACACAGCAGTCAAAGATTTACCCTGTGATTTCAACAGCAATTTTAAACAATTTAAAAGGATACATATAAACCTATTTGCCTTCATCCAGCAAGAGATCTAGCTGCAGAGAGCTAGACATACCACAAAACAAGGACTTCCTAACTCAAGGAACAGACCAAAATTACTCATTTATAGATTACTTTAAATTGTACTTTCTTCTAGAAACACAAGAAGATACTAATGTGCTCAAGATGGAATTTTTATTCCCATTACAATACCTCCTCTAAACCAAAGTTTCTGGCTCCCAGAAAAAAAGAGAGGTCCTGTTCTGCTGTGTTACATCCTGGTTGTTAGTGAGCTGTTGATAGTCTAGTAGTTTATGCAACCTCAAAAGCTTTTAACTGCTGAAAATAAGAAATTCTAACTTGATGCTATTCAGATGCAGATGCTGACTAACAAACTGTTTTGACAGCTTTCTAGAGCAGAACATGAAGGTAATAACCACCATCAAGTTTACCAAATGCTTCTGCCACTCCCTGCACAGCAATACAACCTGCTAGGTCCCATGTTATTGCTTCTGCTTGGGAAGACTGCTAGCATCCAGAAAGGTACTGCAGTACTTCTTAAAGAAATCCCATTATTCTCAGGTATGCCTTCTCCTCTGTAGAGGATAAAATTTCCACTTCATAAAATGTATCATTTAAGGCTTTACCTTCCTCTTTCTAATGAAAGATGCTTTCTAATACATTAATATTCATTTTTGGAAGTCTAATGTTATTCTTCTATAGTTATTCACTGCTGCTAACAAATGGTACAAGCAATTTTACTTGCAGTATATGCACTAATGCTACCCAATTCCAACACAGCACAGGTGTATGACCAGATAAAACAAATGCAGAAATTTATTCCAGTCACCTGGCACAGGAATACAAGCTGCTGTCACTAGCTGCCAAGCCACAGGCTTCAAGCAGGTAAATAAACAATTGGGGTTGCATAAATGAGACTAGGGAAATGATGAAAACCACCATCACTGAAACAGTCAGTGATCTTCTTGTATCACTCACATCAATATTTTAAGCACTATCAAGAATTTCACTGGCATCTTGTCAGAGAATGAAGAAAATTACAAGTTTTACAGAAAATTATGTGTAATTTTCCCCAAGCTCAGGGGAGTTCAGAAGAGAAAGCACAAAGATTCATTTGAAATTTCAAAAAATAAATCAAGAGGCTAGCATCATGGGCTGACAAACGAAACACAAAAGAGCAAGACAGGGAAAGATCACAAAAAAGAGCAAACATTCTTCACAGTAAGTATTTACCTCAGTGGTCCACAAAGGGTAAGGCCAAAAAACCACAAGAGCGAAATGATACATCCCACAACAGCATGCTTAAAAATTTTGATCCACTGCAAAAGAAAGGCATTTCATTGTAATTTTCTCCACAGTTTCAAAACAAATACCTCATTATTAGCATTCTTTTGGCATAGCAGTTGTAGAAATAGAGGGGAAAACACATGCTCTGCAAGTGGTGCAAAGTTCAGAACACGATTGTCTTATTACCTACTTTGCCAGGCAACTAAGGCTTGCTTGGACACATTACAAATTTTTGTTTTCTGCCACAGTACTAGATTCTATAGTATAATCTGAGATCTCTTTAATAAAATGCTGAAAAACAGGCTGAAAAAAATCAAGTCCATTTATCTGTCAAAGGTGCTGTATATTTTGTAATCTACTGCATATTTATGATAAACATATATAGAACTAGATAAAACAACCAAGATAAAGACACTAAGACCTTAAGTCTACACATATTTATGCACGTTTTTTCTTTCAGGAAGCAGGTTATAATTCAGCTATTCAATACATTATTAACTTTAAACACAAGTTTTTGAAGAAAGTAAGTCATTCCAGAAATACATTAAACAAGGCAAAGTGCCTGTAACAAGCATCAGATCTTGAAAATCCAGAATTTTAAAATTTTTAGCAATAGTGATACCACAAATGTTCAGGTTTTTCTGAACACAAAGGTGCAATTTATTCCTTTTACCCTTTAAAATTCTGTCATATGTGTCTAATCATGAAAGCAGCTGACATTTGAAACACTTCTGAGGCTATCCTTCAGATTCTCTCTACTTAGCACACACACTGGTAACTTTCTGTGTGAATGAAGTTTTTGTGCACAAAATTACATAAAACCAAGATGAATACGGAGCAGGTGAAGAAAAATTATTTCTTACAAAGCATCAGGTTTCAGCCTGGCCCTACTCTAACTTCTCAGGATGCTGAGAACTCAACCCGTGTCTGAAGAACAGTTAGCCCCTCATCACCACACACCACACACCACGCAGGAAGCACTGTTGGCATGGGGGACATGACTGCAGCATTTCAACATTCTGGCAGTTCAGAAACCGCCCTTCCAAACTGTACAAGTCAGCTAAGCAGACTAAGCTCCTTCTGAAAATCCAGGCCTCAAAACAGATGCTTGTATGGAGCCAAGGACCAATCTTTCCACAATACACTGAGAAGAAACTGAAAAAAGCTAAAAATGCTGATTGTTTTCTACAGCACACTAGACACAAAGTTAGTTACACACTTGTGGAAATTGCAACCACATCTTCCAAGTGGAGCAACCTTTGTTCTGCTTTCACTTTTAGCAAGAGCCACGTTGTCAGGAATAGCTACAAAACATGAATCACTACTACATATGCCAACTCACCTGGCGCTTGGTGACTCCTTTTCCAGAAGAAAATGGTTTTTGAAACAAAACCATAAAAAATGCAGACCTATTAAAAGGAAGGACAAAGTTTTCTCTATTAGTGTACTAGCAGTCAGCTTTTTGTTCAAACCAGCTCTAAATAAGTAGGTCTCTCATATCAGGCTCAGTTTACAAAATTACTTCCTCTCCATTTTTTTATTAAAAGGCCACACTGGCAGCACTCACTGGTTTTATTTTCCCTGCTGCATTATACGTCTCAGACATCACTACAAAGGTGATGACAAGCGAACTTCAGTTCTGGTCAATTTTAAGTTCTTCAGAGAATGACTAATGAGAAATCTACCTGTGATTTACAAATATCAAGATAACTAACCTCGGAAGTTTTGAGAAGAAAGAATACTATGTTTTTTATTGGCAAGATACATACACCCAAAGGCTTATCCACGTATGGAATGCCAAATACAGAGTCTTGTTAGAAAAGGGAACAAACAGCACACATCTGCCTCAACCAATATCAAGAATAAGGAATGGGGAAAAAGACTATGGTGCTTGGGAACATGCAAGCGAGAAGCCCATAAATGTAAACAAATTTGAAATAAAAATGAGGTTCTGAATGTTCCAATGCTGTCAAGTTTGTTACAGAAATGCTCTTCCATATCATAATGGGTAAATATGTCACAGGATTGTGTCTGCAAAAGTTGTTTCTGCCTATTTGCTATCAGTTTCTACACTTTAGCTCTCAATCAGGGAAAAACAGCAGTTGAAGCTCACAAGAACTAGAGGAATACAAATTTTAAGGAAGAAAACTTGTCTTTTACACCCTTCTTAACAAAATTTGGACGTGCCTGAGTTTCCTATGATCAGTACTGTGATGATCTGATGAACTTTGAAGTATCAAAACCACTAAAGTTTCTTGAGGGTTGAGGTGCCTTACAGAGAGATTTGGCTAGATGAGAGAGCTTGGCAATTACCAACCACATGGAATTTAACAAAAGCAAGTGTGGAATTCTTCATGTGGGACGGAGTAACTGGTTAAACATACAAATTCAGGGACAAGAGGCTGGCAAGAATCCCTGCAGAAAGAGATCTGGGTGTTTGGGTTGATGGGAAGTTGAACATGAGTCAACAGTATGCCCTGGCAGCCAACAGGACCAACTGTGTCCTGGGGTCTATCAAGCACAGCATAGCCAGCAGGTCGAGGCAGGGGACTGTCCGACTCTGCACTGCACTGGTGCAGCACCACCTCCAGAGCTGTGGCAGTTTTGGGAGCCTCAACATAAGCAGGACATAAAAATGTTAAGAGCGTGTCCAGAGGAGGGTGGCCAAGATGGTGAAAGGTCTTGAGGGCAAGAGTTAGGAGAAGCTAAGGTCACTTGGGTTGCTCAGCCTGGAGAAGGGAAGTCTGAGGGGTCACCTCATGGCAGCCTGTGCCTTCCTCAAGGGGGGCAGTGGAACAGGAGGTGCTGATCTCCTCTCTCCAGGAGAGAGGAGTGACAGTGACAGTAGAGAGAAGTGACAGAGCACAAGGAAATGGAATGAAGCTGCATCAGGGCTCCAGAGGCCTTAAACACTCCACAGATGGGGCATCCACAGCTTCTGTGGGCAGCCTGTTCCAGTGCCTCACCACCCTCACAGTAAAGAATTCCTTCCTAATATAAATCTACCCTTTTGCAGTTTTAAAACTTAACCCTTGTCCTCTACTGCAGTCATTGGGAAAGAGCTCCTGTAGGCACCCTTCAGGTACTGGAAGGTTGGAATATGTTCTCCTCTGAGCCGTCTCCAAGCTGAACAACCCCAACTCTCTCAGCCTGTCTCCATGGGAAAGGTGCTCCAGCCCTCTGAGCATCTTCATGGCCCTCAGGACTCAATCGAAAGCGTCTATGGCCTTCGTTCGTTGGGGGTCCCAGGGCTGGATGCAGGACTCCAGGTGGGGTCTCGCTGTCGGTGACAAACACATAACCACTGGAAGGTAGTTATATGCGGTGCTTTGTTTCGCGGGCCCGGGAACCAGGGGTAGTCACCCAAATCTGGTTCGCCGACGGCCATGTCAACTTACAATTTATACCCTCACGATTATACAATTTCATACATATTCAATAGTCACCCCATCACCTCTTATTACATATTCATTAGGGATTGCTTCATAGATTGCGTCATTCTGGCGACATTCCAGTCCCTTCTAGTGGTCTTCGGTGGTCGTTTCTGATGAAGTAAGACGTCTTCCTCGCCGTGTACTTTTTACCTTTCGTCCCTCTGGTAGGTTTCCAGGCCCGTTTTAGATGCCTATCTTCTCCTTATTCTTCTTGACTTTTCAGGCGTCCTCGGTATGCCGCTTCAGTAGCTTTAAACTATACCCCTCTCCCATTATTATAGAATGCAGTACCAGATCACAAATATACAAAGATTTTACACCAAGTTCAGAACACCTCGTATTTTCCAACATTCCCCCCCTTTGAAAATACTTCACTTTATATTGCAAGTATTTTCATTTATGCCATTTCTTTATACGACGGTGGGGGCATTATATTTCCTGGACATTCAGAGTGTTCTCTTGTTACTGCTTGGACCAAACGATGAGTCCATACTTTATCGCGACTCAGTTGCCTTTTAGGATAACTGAAGGTAAGATAAATTCCCAGAACTACAAGTAGCAATATAAATACAGTCTGGATTAATGAGTGAACCCATCCTGCTACGTTAAGTCCC